AGAGAGAGAGAGAGAGAGAGAGAGAGAGAGAGAGAGAGAGAGAGAGAGAGAAAACTAACTGGCAATGGAGAGTGCATTTGAGATCTCCAAGACTGCCCCTAGTGAGACACTTCTTCAAACAAAGCCACACTTTCTAATCCTTCCCAAACTATTCCACTAACTGGAAAACATGCATGCAAACTTATTAGCTTATGGAGGCCATTCTCACTCAAACCACCACACTGTGTGACCTTATTTACATCTTCATATTTGTGTAGCAAGCACTTTGCCCAATGAGAAATCTCCCTAGTGCCATTTCAACATTTCTATTTTCTATTTTTTTCTTTAAAATTTCATCTTCCTTTCTGAATTTCTTACATATGCGGATGACTTTCTTCTTCAGGTCTTGAATTATTTCCTTACTTCATTCATATGCTTGTATTTTGTTTTTGTTTTTGATTTTTGTATCTTCATTGAAGTTACTGATCAGTTTTCAATCGAACATTTGAGTTCTTCATCTGTCATTTTACCCATTTCACTATGTTTGGATTTGGTAACTTTGGAGTTGTGATCCTCTAGAGTAGTCATGTTGCCCTGCCTCTCTGTGTTTCTCATGTTTCTGTGTTGCGATTCGTGCATCTGTTGGGATGGATATCTCTTCTAGTTTTATTTGGGAGTTTTCTTAGTGAGCAGCTCTCCCTTCGTAACTCAGCCTCCAGTATCATTCAGAAAGGAGGAAATAAATACCATAATAGCAACAACACTGAACCAAGCCAGAAGAAAAATATGCTTTAAATCAAATAAAGCCAATAGCCATAGAAAAGGAATTGGCAAAAATAACATACAGCTAGCTACGAAGTTAAAAATTACTTAGTGTAAAAGTAGAAGTCATCATTGACAAATAAGGGCAGGAAATGGGTAAAAGAAAAGATGAATCTAGCTTTAAAAACAGAACACAGGAGAGTAACGCTAGGAAGAGGGGGTAAAAAGGGTAAGATATTAAAAAACTGAACAATAAAGGAAAAGTTGCACTAATAAGCCTAATAAGCCATAAGATAAAGATCTATTGACTTCTTATAAAAATAAAATAAGCATATGATAAAAGAAGAAAACACGTAGGTCAAAAAACAAAATGAAATAAAACACAAAAGCAATATACATGAACACCTTCGTGAATCCTTCGATGTTGGAACCTGACAGGCGAAAGGCATCTGAAGCTGAAGACGCTGCTGTTTCCTCCAGTTCAGGTTGGTGCTGAGTCCAGAGGGGCTACAGGTTCGGTGCTCGACAGAGCGGCAGCTGCTTTAGTGGTTTCCCCCCTTTGGGTACCAGGATCTTTAGCTTCACAGCTTATGGATTTGTCAGGCTTGTGTAAAAGCTTAGAACTCCCCAGTTTGTACCTTGGGGTGGCTACTGTCTCAGCCAATATGTGTTCTGGGTGTGTGTCGGGGGAAGCAATTGGAGCTCTGAGATCTGTTATTGGAAGATCCATCTCTGTGCGTTACGATCCTGTTCAGTATTACATCCTGTGTGGGAAAAGGATGCTATGCAGGTTGTCCCCAAGAGCTGACTTAGTCCGATTAGTGGGAAACTCTACAGCGGAGAGCAAGCTGTGAACTTCAAGTTGTGGTCTGACTTCTGTGTTAGGACTATTCGTTTCTGAAGCTATTCTACTTAGCACTCTCCAACTACACAGCAGTGTTAGCCAGGAAGTTAGAGCTGTGCTCCTCACCAAAGCGGGCAGGACCTCTGGCTACTGAGCCCTTCAGTACCTACCTTTCAGATTTCCTGGTTGCCCAGTGCATCTGTGTCTAGCCCTTTCCCAGATCCAAAACGGCATCATGTAGCTATCCACGACCTAGGGAGATGTGTTATGGGATGGCTCTGGGATTCCCAACTTGTAATTATTCCTTACTATTAGGCTGCACAGAACCTCAATCTTTTTTTTTTTTTTTTTTTCCCCGAGACAGGGTTTCTCTGTGGTGCCTGTCCTGGATCTTGCTCTATAGACCAGGCTGGCCTCGAACTCACAGAGATCCACCTGGCTGTGCCTCTGAGTGCTGGGATTAAAGGCATGCACCACCACCTCCTGGCCAGAACCAAAGCTCAATCTTAAACAATAGTTTTCCTCTCAAGATGGTGTTGATTCCTATCCCAGCCCTCTTTTAGAGTTCAGACTTGTCATACTAGAATTGCTGTTTTATTAGAATTCTCGGTAGATTTAAAACTTGCAATAACTGTGGGCTTGTCCTATAAACAGGAGGATTGCTGGCTGTTTCATCTGGGATGCTTCACTTTCTGCTTGGATGACGATCCTGTTTCCCTTTCCCATGCTAGAGACTCATGACATTGGGTCATGTGCTCTATCCTTTCCCCTGGGTTGCCCTGGTTTTCCGTACTCTTCAGTAGTCTTATCATCTCCTTTGTGATTTTTTTTCCTCATTGGAAAACACTGTATTCCTTGTTTTCCTGATTCTTCAAATTAATTATGTTAATTAAGGTAACTTTTAATTCACCATCTTTACAACCAGAGTTTAAACTGTGATTTTAAATATATTTTTCTATATTCATAGATTGGTGCCAACCCCAATTGTCGTCAGAGAGGCTTCACCCAGGAACTGATGGAAACAGATGCAGAGACCCACAGGCAAACACTAGGCAGAGCTCGGGAAATCCTGTGGAAGAGGAGGGGGAAGGATTTTGAGAGCCAGAGAGGTCAAATACACCACAAGAAAAAACACAGAATCAACTAACCTGGCCTCATAGGGGCTCATGGAGACTGAACCACCAACCAGAGAGCTTGCATGGGACCCCGACCTAGGCCCTCTACGCATATGTTACAGTTGTGTAGCTTGGTCTTCTTGTAGGATTCCTACCAGTGGGAGCGGGGGCTGTCTCTGACTCTATTACCTACTTTGGGGACCTTTTCCTCCTACTGGGTTGCCTTGTCCAGCTTTAATAGGAGAGGATGTGCTTGTCTTACTGTAACTTGATATGTCATGGCTGGCTAACATACATGGGAGATGCCTGCCCTTTTCTGAAGAGAAAGGAGGAGGAGTGGATGAGGGTGGGCAGATGGGGGAAGTTGGAGGGAGGGACTGGGAGAAGAGGAGGGAGGGAGGGGAGACTATGATCAGGCTGGGAAAAAATTAATTAATAAAAAACAAAACAAAACAAAATATTCAAAGATCTAAAGGAAATACATTTTGAAATGAGAGACCTAGGGTGTAGCTCAATGGTAGAGCACATGCCTGAGAGCATATGTGCACCCCTTGGTTCAATCCCTAGTATCAAAAATAAATACCTAAAATGACCAAGGAAAATATAAAATGGAATTTTACCAAATAAAGAATATCAATAAAGTGGTATAAGTTTCAAGCTGGATGTTGTTGTTCATACCTATAAATGAAGATTCCAGGAAGAACAAGATGACTGGGAAATTATGGCCAGCTTATGTAGCTGGAGGGCTTCTCTCCAGGTTCCCCAAGCCCCGCAGTCCCACAATCCACTTATAAAATAATCACTCAGATGCTTATATCACTTATAAACTGTATGGCCGTGGCAGGCTTTCTGCTAACTGTTTTTTATCTTAAATTAACCCATTTTTATAAATCTATACCTTGCCACGTGGCTGGTGGCTTACCGGCGTCTTTACAGGTTGCCTCTCCTGGCCGTGGCTGCTGTGTCTCTCTCCTCAGCCTTCCGCTTCCCCGA